TAATTGGATTCTTTTGGATTATCCCGTCGACATTTTTTAGGACGACGTGTTCTAATAAAATATAAAATTTTTTTTTCTTTTTTTCTTTTCTTTCCAATTGAAAAACAGTTATAGCAGACATATAATAGCCATGTGAAATAATGCGAAATATTTTTTTCTAGTAAAAAAAGGGCGGGAAAGAAAGAAAAGAAAGAAGAAAAAAAATATAACGCAAAAGAGAATTAAACCCTCAGAAAAATTTAAACCTTTTGCATCATAATTATTTTTCTGAGCTTTTTCTCACTAAACTCCAAGTCAGATTTAATTTAATTCTTTATGCTTTTGATATATCTTATATATATATATATATATATATATATATATCTTTTCTTTTTCATTCACATATAACATTTAGAAAGAAATATTTGGAATAAAACTATTCTTTACTGATTTGTTAATCATATTATTCTATTAACTAAATAGAGTGTCATACGTCAGAGATGACTCAAGAGTTCTACAGAAAAATACTGTTGTCACGTCAGAGGTGACCTCATAGTGCTAAAGGTTAAGATTCCATTCATTTCTTTTTTTTTTTCTTTTTTTTTTCTTTTTTTTTTTTTCTTTTTTCTTCTTCTACTTCTTCTTCTTTCATTTTTTTTTCTTTTTATTCTTCTTTCACAAATGATCAACATTAAAAATTATCTCTCATTATTTCATTATCAAGCCTATCAAATATTTCAATATCAGCGTAGGTACTGTATCATAAACATCATCACAAGCGTAATAAACCGTCGTTGAATTAGATTAAAACTTTGTCATTAGATTATCAATGACATTACTTGACAGACTCGTTGTTTCGAACCAAAGGATTATGATTTAACAAATCAACAAAAAATCGATCCCATATTCGACGACCGCACGTTTGCCGAATGATTTCATTCAGTGATTATATCCCGTATGAATACGATTATTGTATTACAAATCTCATGACGCGATTATATCTCGTCATTCTATAAGATTAGACTTTGACGTTAGATTACCGCGATTTAGAGTCAGACCTTTTCATTTCATTTCATTTCATTTCATTTCATTTCATTTCTAGGCCAAGGGGTTAAGATTAAAAAAAAAAAAGTAAAGGTAGGAAAAGACAAAGAATATCAAATAAAATAACAATAATAATAATAATAATAATAATAATAATAATAATAATAATAATAATAATAATAATAATAATAATAATAATAATAATAAAAAGAACAAAAAACAAGAAAAGAAAAGAAAACGAAAAAAAAAGAGAAACAAGGAGATCTTAAAAAGAAAAAAAGATTCTAACGTTTCGTCCATAATTACTCGACGTATAGTCAAAAATATTCTTATTTTCTAAAGAAATAGTAGAAGAAGAAGAAGAAATGAAAAAGAAAGAGAGACAGTTAGAGAGAGAGAGAGAGAGAGAGAGAGAGAGAGAGAGAGAGAGAGAGAGAGAAAGAGAAAGGTCGACATGCGAGGCATCAATTAGTTGGTATATCGATTAACGAGTTTCCTTTAGCATCGAAAATCGAAGATCGAGGAATAAAGAAGGTAAAGGGAAAGATAGAAAGAGCTGACATACAAGGTGAAGGGAATCGATCGGATCGAGAATCATCTATAAGATAAATCTTTGAAGGATGATGGGAGAGGGAATGAAGGAAGGCAAGCAGGAAGGAAGGAAGGAAGGAAGGAAGGAAGGAAGGAAGGAAGGAAGGAGGAAGGAAGGAAGGAAGGAAAGAGGAACGAGGCCGAGGGTCTGACGCGCACGTGGCAAATCTTTCTCTCTCTTTCTCTCTAACATGCTCACTCGCTCAATCTTACCTACTCACTCACACTCACAGAATGATTCCTCAAAAGCAGATATATATATATATATATATATATATATATATAGAGAGAGAGAGAGAGAGAGAGAGAGAGACGCAGAGAGATGCGAAGCGCGAGTGTCCTTCGACGAGAGAGTACGATCGATGCTGGTTTTATCGCGAGACCCGTCGCGCTCCAAAGCTAACGAGCGAGCGAGCTAGCAAGCTAGATGCCTAACTTCTCTCTCTCTTTCTCTCTCTCTCTCTCTCTATCTCTCTCTCTCTCTTATACACACACACAGACACGCGCGCGCTAGTTAAATGCTTTTATTTTCCTCTTAAAGATATTCCACCCTTGAATATCGAGACGTTCTCCTGGCGTCGAAGGTAAACTTCGATGGAGATGCCAAAAAGACACGCACGCTAGGATTCGTAGGCGGCAGGTGAGCTACGGTAAAGTAAGAGTAAAAAAAGAAAAAAAGGGAGAGAAAGAGAGATAGATAGATAAATAGATAGATAGATAGATAGATAGATAGAGAGGGAAAGAGGGAGGGAGGGAGGAAAGAAGAGGGGGATGATGACGAAGAGAAAGAGATAGAGAGAGGATTGACGCGCGTGGGCGGTTGGCCATGGAACGATACGTCGAGCATAGTTTGCTTCTAGTAGGAAAAGTGGGAAAAGCTACCAAGGGAGAGAGATAGAGATAGAGAGGAAGAGAGAGAGAGAGAGAGAGAAAAAGACAGAGATAGAGATATATATGAGGATGATAAAGGGGTAGGTGGGTGTCGGGAAGGAAAAGCCGAAGGTGGGATAACGAGTCGAGCCGAACCGGCGCTGTTCTGGCACATGCGCGTCTTTTCCGGATTACCCGTACGGCTTTTAGACACGACAGTCCAATTGAGACCGCTCTACCGTACGCACCGTTCACTGATTCGCACCTAATTCGGACACACGCACACACACACACACACGCACACATATACACATACATATAACACACAGATCAAGGTTCCCGGCGATCCCTCTCCCTTTCGTAGATTAGTTTATCTCAGTGTCTGTCTCTTTCTTTTTCTACTTCTATCTTTCTACTCTTTATCTTTCTCTATCACTATCTTTCTATCACTCTTTATCTCTCTCTCTCTCTCTCTCTCTCTCTCTCTCTCTCTCTCTTATTATCTCTGTTTATTCATTCTTTTCTATTCATTCATTCTCTCTTTCTTATCCGTTCATCATCTATCTCACATCCAACTTATTCGTTCATTCCTCTGCTACATATTATTATTATTATTATTATTATTATTATTATTATTATTATTATTATTATTATTATTATTATTATTATTATTATTATTGTTATTATTATAGTTATTATTTGACTGGTTCGTTCGTCTATCGTCATCATAGACGATGAAAAGTCTAGGAGGAGGAGGAGTTGTTTCAGAGTGCACTCGCACGATAACTCGAATCTATGCTTTCGGTGCTAATTGCTGTTGCTCGAATTATTATTGTTGTTGCTGCTGTTGCTTCTACCTCTGCTGATATTGCCGTTCCTTTTATTCAGGCGTGGGAGGGGGGGGAAGAGGGGGAGAGGAGGGGTTATCGATGAGTATTATTATACGTCATTGTTGTTAGTCGTTCAACAACAATCATTGTCGTCGTCGTTGTCGTCGTCTTTGTCGTTGATGTTAACAACGATGATGTATTTGGGGGTGCGTCTGTTATGATCTTTGGTTTATATAAAAAAAAAAGTGAGGTCAGGGAGAAAACGGCGTGTCGTGTTAAAAAAAAAGGAAAGAAAGAAAAAAGAAAAAGAAATAAAGAACAAAAAAGAGAAAAAAAGAGAACGCAAGAAGTAGAAAAATAAGAAACAAGCGCAGATTATTCTTATCGTTTTTATTATTATTAACATTATTATTATTAATAGATATTATTATTAGCGATAATTGGTATAATAATATTAAAAAATTTTAAAGAAATTATCTGTTTATCGCGAATGTTTCGTTGCGTTTGACGTCTCATGTGCGTTTCTCTTCGATCGTCTCGTTCGAGAGACGCAGGAAGACAGGGAGCTGTCGCGACAGCGGCGGCTCGAGTAGAAGGAGAAGGGGGTAGAAGGAGGAGATAGAAGGGGAAGGCAAAACGATAAGAGGAGGAGAAGGAGGAGGAGGAGGTGAAGGTAGTAGTGGTGGTGGTAATGGTGGTGGTGGTGGTGGTGGTAATGGTGGGGTGGTGGTGGTGGTGATGTTGGTGGTGGTAGTGTTGGTGGTAGCGGAGGTGGTGGAAGAGTGGACGTAGTAGGTGTAACGTCGCCGTCGTCGTCGTAACGCGACGAGCGAGTAGTAGTAGTGACACGACGAAACTAAGTGGCCGCGAACGTGAGTCGGGTTCGATACGTAACCGCGAATCTCGTGAACGAGGAAGTGCGTGCGTGCGAGTAGTAATTACTTTAAGGGAGGAAGAGGAAGAGGAAGAAGAAGAAGAAGAAGAAGAGGAAGAGGAAGTAAAATTAAAAGAAAAAGAAGGATAGGAGAAAGAAGATAAAGAATAAAAAAATAAGAAAAAAGATAAAGTAAAAGAAGAGAAGAGAAAGAAAAAGAGGAGGAGAAGAAGTGGAAGTGGAAAGAAGGGGGAAAAGGAGGAAGCGGAAGAAGTTAGTAGTAGAAGAAGAAGAAGAAGAAGAAGAAGATAAGATAAACAGGAGGAGGAAGAAGAAAGAAGGAGGGGAAGGAGGAGGTGAAAGGAGAATAGAAAAGGATTCCTGCTGCTCCTCCGTCGTCTGCCCTCCCCTATTTTCTTCCTACCTCCCTCCCCGACGCGTCGCGGTCGCCGTCGCCGTCGTCGCTGTCGCCGTCGCCGTCGCCGTCGCCGTCGCCGTCCTCGTCATCCTCGTCGATTTCGTCTCGTCGCAGCTCTTCATCCGGTTGGCTGTCGTGCGACGACGCGTCGTACGCGCACGGTCTTTCTCTACTTTCTAGCTCGGCTAGTCGAGCTCGAGTCGAGTCGAGTCGAGTCGAATCCGAGTCGAGTCGAGTCGAGTCGAGTCGAGTCGAGTCGAGTGGAGCGAAGAGTTCGGTCTACGACGTCGTCGTCGTCGTCGTCGTCGTCGTCGTCTGGGTTGGTGGTAGTCCAGTCCAGTTCTCTTCGTCCGTCGTCGTCTTCGTCTTCGTCGTCGTTGTCGTCGTCGTTGTCGTCGTCGTCGTCGTCGTCGTAGTCGTCGTCGGGGCAGCAGCGGCGACAAGCGGCGGCGGCCGACAACATCACGCGTCGTCGTCGTCGTCGTCGTCGTCGTCGTTCTCCTCGTCGTCGTCGTCGTCGTCGTCGTCATCGTCGTCGTCGTCGTCGTCGTCGTTCTCCCTGTCCTCGCGTCCACGTCGTCTTTAACGTGACGGTGAGGTGCGCGCGCGATCCCGTTTTTTTTTTTTCTCGTCTAGGGAATCGAACGTGCCGATTCGTTGGCGGCAAGCACGACGGCGGTGTGCTTCGAAATCGCGAATAAATGTGTCGGTCACGGTACAAGACGTGAGAAGAAGCGGGGGCCACCGGCAAGCCGAGGTTTATTTTTAGTGGCAAGCGCCAAGCAGTAAGGCGGAGTGGTATAAACGGCGCGCACAGTGGCCCGATGAAGCGGCGTATGTGACATCAAATTTCTCCTCTCTTGCCACCTCGAGAACGGACACCCCGAGACATCTCGCCGTCGGACCATCCACGGTGAGTATTCGATTGATTCGCTATTCCGACTCGCGAGTAGCCGCCCCCTTCCGAACGTCCAGGGTAACCTCCACCCATCCCTCGCTCTCTCTCCTCTCTCTTGAGAGAGCACACCTACGCTCTCTTTCTCTATATCTCTCTCTCTCTCTCTCTCTTTCTATCTCTATCTCTATCTCTATCTTTCTTTCTCTCTCTCTCTCTCTCTCTCTCTCTCTATCTCTCTCTCTCTCTCTCTTTTGCCCCTTTCTCTCTCTCCTCGTCGCTTCGACGTTCGCTCGACCAACCAACCATCCACCACCACCCCCACCAGGGTTGCTCTGACTCGGCCAAGGAGAAGCGGAACAAGAAGAAGAAGTAGACGAGGATAAAGAAGAAGAGGAAGAAGAGAGAGAGAGAGTGTGTGTTCCACGATCGCAGGTGGAATCGTGAAAATTATGTAACGACCGCCGGCTCCGGGTCCGGCCAGGGCCACCGAAAGACGCTTCTCCTCTTTCCTCTTGCGCATTTCTCTCTCTCTCTCTCTCTCTCGCTCACACGCACATTTCCTCCTCCTCCTCCTGCTCCACCTCCTTCATCTTTCCTCCTCTTAACCTTCTCTCTCGCTGTCTCTCTCTCTCTCTCTCTCTCTCTTTCTCCCTCTCGGCCGCCACCCCTTCTCGACGAACATTATTTCGGGAGTGCCAGGCCAGGCAGAGCTCGAGGTTGCTCGTATGCTTTCTGCTTCTAACTACTATTGCTGATGTTGCTGCTGTTGGTGCTGGTGCTGCTGCTGTTACTTCTACTCCTCTAGAACACGTACGAGAGAGCGTTCTAGTCCCCGTGTGTCCCGGGATCGAGCAAGCGCATTATTCCCCAGAACCCTGAGCGCGGTTTTGCTCGACGAATGTTCCTGAACCCGCCGCCTCGTGGCTCCGTTATCGAAATATTCTATTCCAAGGGAAATATACGTTAGACCTTATTACAAATACTTCATTTCGTCTTTCTCCTCCTCCTCCTCTTCCTCCTTCTCCTCCTCTTCCTCCTTCTCCTCCTCCTCCTTTCTTTTCTTTTCTTTCTTTCTTTCTTCATTTACATATCTCTTTCTCTTTTTCTCGCTATCTGTCCATCTCTCTTCCTCTCTCCTTATCGTAAGATACGACCCGTCCCGTTGTAAGAGTAAAAGAATAAGCACGATAAGCCGAGGGGGTTATACTCCCGAGGCCTCACTCCACCCTTTCTCCACCCAAGCCTTCCTCTTCCCCCCACCCACCCACACCCACACCCCCGACCCCACCCCCTTTTGTTCTTTTTCCGTTCGATGCGTTCCTCGATGGCAAGATACGAGCGAGACCCGCCTTTGTCCTGCTTTCATGGTATCGACCCTACACGGCTGACCTAGACTCACTTACATTTTCCAAGCTGTGGGGCCTACTCACCGATCTAATCCTCCTCCTCCTCCTCTCTCTCTTTCTCTTTCCCTCTTTCTCTCTCTCTCCTTTTCTCCAACATGTTCCTCTTTGCATCTCTCTCTCTCTCTCTCGCACTCTCTCTATTGCTAAATTTCTAATGAAATTCCAAACTTTTCGTTGAAATACAAACGACGACGACGACGACGACGACGACGACGACGACGACGACGACGATGACGAAGACGACGACGACGATGAAGACGATAAAGACGACGAAGTATAAAGTAGGAGTGTGCGCGCAAGAATGTGGGATACAGAGTAGGTACAAACTGTGTCGATATTTATGACGCGGTTCTCTCTTGCACTTCTAACACATTCGCGGACTCGGGAAGAAATTGATAAAATCTCGGCAATATCGGGCGGGGATTCTTGGAAACGCGTTAACGCGTCTTGGCACGTTTTCTTGGTACCGAACGAAGATGAGAGACGGAGACAGATACAGAGAAAGATATATATATATATATATATATATATATATATATATATATATAGAGAGAGAGAGAGAGAGAGAGAGAAAGAGAGATGCCATAAGGCATCTCTCTAACACTTGAGTTTCTTCACCCGGATTATATATCTTCTTTTCTATTTTTCATTCTATTCGAATTCTTTCCTAGATACATACATACATACGTACATATATACATACATACATACATACATATAATATATATACATACATATATACGTACATATATATATATATATATATGCATACACATAGATATACATAGATATAGATATATATCTCAATGATGTCTTATACGTATATACCTATATATACTTACATATCTATGGATCGCAGAAAAATTATGTAGACATACCGGTAGTATCGGCTGAAAAGGAGTTGGAGGAGAATTGTAGGTGGAAAGAATCTTTACGGTGGATGCACAGTTTCAAGGATTCTATCGGAAATTCTTTACAGCTTCTCTATCTCTCTCCCTCTCTCTCTCTCTCTCTCTATATATATATACATATCTCTCTATATATCTCTTTCTCTTTTTTCATCATCGTTTCTCTTCCTTTTTCTCATATAAACTGTGAACATTTGGTTTACATATGAACAAAAATTCCTCTATTATAATTCATTTTGCCTTTGCAATAAAAAAAAAAAAAAAAAAAAAAAGTAAAAGAACAGTGATGACGACGACGATTATGACGATGGTGATGATACGATCTATATATATAGAAATTCTACGAGTAAATTGTGGAATTCTAGTTTCTAAGAGACAGAGAGAGAGAGAGAGAGAGAGAGAGATAGAATCATTCCTTCCTAATATCCTGCCAACGTAAATTGGTATCCTCGCCCAGAGGAAATTGAAAGTTGCTACCTTGAACGATACTACAGCTTCGATCAAAAAAATTTTTCACTCTAGTCTTCTAGTTTAAAAATTTTGCAAAATACAAAATTGAATTAATAAAAAGGTCACGGATAAGAGTTAAGCGATTCTCTCTCTCTCTCTCTCTCTCTTTTTTTTTAATCTAGAAGCTCGTTGGTTTTTTACGATCTGCAGAAAGATAACGAAAAGAAAAAAAAAGAAAAAAAAAAGGAAAAAACGAAGAAGAAGAAGAAGAAGAAGAAGAAGAAGGAAAAAGCTAGGAAAAGAAAAAAGAAATAAGCCTAGAAAAAGTAAGTCTCGGAGAGCGATCGATTTTCTTTTTTTTTTTTTTTTTTGAATCATCCAAGAGAGATCATCCCTAGTACTACCCACAGATCCTTCTACGAGATCAAAAATCCCTTTTATTATTATTTTTTTTTTATTTCTGTTATTCTCTCTCGCTCTCTTTTTTTTTTTTTTTTTTTTTTTTATCTAAACAATTATTTCAACCTCTCCTTAAGAAGAGGATATTTTGCAAATATATTTGCTAGCTCTCTCTCTACTCTCTTTCTCTCTCTCTTAGGTATTATAACGTTTTATTTGTTTTTATATTTTCTATTTTGTTTTCTTTATCGTATTATAAACGAACGATTTAACTGTTGAAAACAAAGTTGCTCAATCGGTAAGGCTTACTACATCAAACAGTTTCATTCTGTTTCCGGTAAGAACGATACTAAGAACCCAGAGCTCTTTCTCATCGTGTGATCGTTCTTTATCTCTTTTCATCTTCCATACTTGGGCGTACGTGTATATATATATATATATATATATATATATATATAACATGTATGTATGTATATATGTATCTGTATATGTATGTATGCATGTATGTATGTATGTAGGTCGATCGACCCACGTACCGGTTCGAGACTTATCCAAACGTGTCGTTTCGATGTCTTATACTAAGAGCAGCTCACATATCGTTTTGCATTCGTTTGCAATTTAAAGATTTTCTGTATCTTCCTTTTGATCCCTCTTCTTATTTTTTCCCTTTTTTTTTCTTTTTTTTTTTTCTTTTCTTTTCTTTTCTTTTCTTTTTCTTCTTCTCTTCTCGTCATTCTTTCTTATACGATTAAATACGTACAAGATATTTTCCCATTCATTTTGCCATCTGATGGGATTGAAAAGATTAGAAATTAGAATCTTTATAGATATTTTTAAAACGTGGATAAATATTTCTTTTCAAAAATTTAATTTTTATATAAATGTATAACTACATAACATGTACAAAATATTAGAGCATAAAAATGACATAAACATATATATATATATAATTAATACATACATACGTAGTAGATTTTTTGAAACGTAAACGAAAAAAAAAAATAGGAAAAAAGAAAAGCGAAAGAAAGAAAAAGAAAAGAAATTCCGTAAAACTTCTATAGATAGATCAGTGTTTCTATCCATTGTCTTTTTTCTTTCTCTTTTTTTATCATTTCGTAATCTTCAGTGATAATACGTTTATTTTTTTTTTTTTCCCCCCGATGTAGATACCGTCAAACTCTTGATATTTATTGAAAGTAAGCTGCCACTGGTGGGAGTTCAGGAGGGTCACGGGTGTTCGAGGGGGTTGCGTGGGGTGGTTGAGGCCGTGTCTCGTTCGAGTACTTTGGCACACCGTTATAATTCAACGTTTTATCACGCGACCTACTACTTTGAGATATTACCACTGTCTTATTGATCCGTCCGACCGTGCGCTTGGCCTTTAAAATTGTCCAACTATCAATATTATAGACATATCGATGCGTCCGAACTTGATATCTTTTCTGTGCCTTAGAGGTTTTATCCTTTACTTTGTCATGTCTTTTTATACCTACTTTTTTTATGTTACCAACGTATAAGGGTTTGATAAAAGTTCTTAAAAGGCCTTGTTCGAAATCGAAACGTTTACGAAACGTTTGTAGTTTTACGATTTTATTAGAATAAAATAAATAATAATAGAAGAAAAATATATATATATATATATATATTTAATATATAAATAATATATATATATATAATATATATAATAATATATATAATATATAAATAATATATATAATAATAATAATATATAAATAATATATATAATTAATATATAAATAATATATATAATAATAATAAAGATATATATATATATATATATATATATATATATATATATTAAAAGTCTCGGGAAAGAAAGAAAAAAAAAAGG